TAACCGGTGAACAGTGAGTACAGAGATACTATAGTAAAATGTAAAATCTGCTTAGACCTATGTTAGTTTCAGATAAATAAGATATGTAAGATATATAACATATATTTCTTCAACACTGGACATATTTTCTGTATTAATATATAATACCTGGTTATAATACCACACTTTTTTATTCAGAAAAAATAAAAACCATGTTTTGATCCTTGTATGGTAATAATTATTCGATCTCTATAGATTTACATTTAACATCATTTATATATCATATCATTATATATCATCTATAACAGACAATTGTTCACTTTGTAACTGAACAGAAAAGCATTATCCAATCGAATGCTTATCGTTTTAGGATGGGAACACATGAGATACATGTCTCCCTGGGCAAGGTTTTTTTTATCCAACTGGCGTTACTTTCGTTGCATAAACCTATACAGCATATACGTGAATTTCTTGACTTTAAACAATTAGTTTAAAACCCAAAATTTTTATACTCAAGAAGAAGAAAAAGAGTTCTTGGGAATAAAGTAGAAATAAGGGCGGAGATGGATCTTTATTGAAACTCATTTAATAATCGAGTTGAAAAGTAAAACTGTAATTGAGGCTCACATTAGAAGTAGAAGTTTTTAGGCCGACAAGTAACTGTTTCGTACGGGACTATACTTTAATTTTAACTGAGTAAGGATACCTCTATGAGACAGACGTTTTTCTTTCGAGAGTTATACTTAATCACTATTTTACACAGTTGATAAACTCTTAATAAATACTTTTAATCAAAATAGAGTTAACGCATATTCGACCATCTTTAACAATATAGGTATGTATCAGTTAGTCATATACCTAGTATGGATTACTATTTTCGCTTATTCTAAACAAATTTTTAGATGATTTCGAGATGGCTTTGTATAAAATTTCATTTCTTTGCTTTAAAGTCAAATAAGAAGAGCAACAAAGTAACAAGTCAACAAAGAAATACAGGCGGAATAAACAAGCAAATGGATTGATCTCCTTGACACATCCTAACAAACTTTAAATACCTGTTTTAGACACTATATGAAGAGTCTTAGAAAACAGTGCACTAAATCAAGTTTATGTCAAAAAATTCATTAATTAAAATTTAGAAATAAATTCTAAATTAGACAGATGTTTCTTGTCTTCTACATTGTTATTTTGACCGACGTTTTTTATAGCCAAAAAAAAACAAGTTGCTTTTAATAACTTAAAAATTACACAATACGTGAAGGCTCATAAAAAGAATTAAAGAAGATAAATACTTATACGTGAGAACATAAAAAGTTTTGCAAATAGATACTTAAATTAAATAAAAATTTTAATGGATAAAAAAGTATTTGTAGACAAAACAGTTGAAACATAGTATGATGGTTGGACAAGTTTTGGTTCAAGTTGTGACTTGAGTTCCAAAAAGTACGAAAAGGAACGAAAATTGTATAATCATAGATTTGAAAATAACAATTTTCAAATATATTGCATTTTCTAATATAACAAATAAACTATTCTTTAATAAAAAAAAAAGAGTAACACATAATGAATCACAACAATGAAATTGTGTATATAATTAATGGATTTTTTAAGCTGACCAATATAGCTGTTTCAGGTATAAGCTATCAAATATCCATCATCAGAAGAAATGTTTCGAAATATATTTTGGACTTAATTGCTCATATATAATTTTTGGACATTAGGTACATTTTGAACTTAATTGCTCGTATATAATTTTTGGACAGTGAATATATTTTGGACTTAACTGCTGGTATATAATTTTTGGACAACAAATACATTTCGAATTTTATTGTTGGTACATAATTTTTTGGACAATAAATACATTTCGAACTTTATTGTTGGTAATTAATTTTTTGGACAACAAAGATTAGGGTTCAAACTCAAAGCCGTACTTAACTTGTGTTGGTCAAACAACAATAAATTTACAAGACATCATTTCAAGTGGTTACTTTTTATTAATTATTTACATTAAGACTGAAAAGTTTTCGGAAATTCTCATTTAAAATTCGCGCGCTGTATATTTTTCGATATTTTAAGTTTATGTAGTTTGGCAGCACTGTCCTTAATTACTATGCCAAAAATGAGCTCGATCTGTCAGACAGTTCGTTTACGGCAGCTGTTGAAACCAGTTCACCTCAGTAGTGCGTTGCGAAATGTCTTCGACGGTCGTACGACCGTCCTGGAAGGCTTTGTACCACTCATAAACTTGAGTTTTCGATAAAACTGATTCCCCATAAGCCTTTTGTAGCATTCGCAACGATTCTGCACACGAAATTTCGTTCGAAACACAAAATTTGATGCAAACTCTTTGTTCAATATTTTTTTCCATTGTTTTTTTCGCAACGCCCTACTGAGGTGAACTGGTTTCAACAGCTGCCGTAAACGAACTGTCTGACAGATCGCGCTCATTTTTGGCATAGTAATTAAGGACAGTGCTGCCAAACTACATAAACTTAAAATATCGAAAAATATACAGCGCGCGAATTTTAAATGAGAATTTCCGAAAACTTTTCGGTCTTAATGTATATAATAAACAATACGTAAGTAGAAAGTTTTATATTTTTAGTCCTCGATTTTTTGGAGTGATCCAAAATTTTTATTGTACTTGTGTCTGTAAAAGCCTTCCGTACCTTGTTTTGAACCCATATATATGTTAACTCTCTCACTGCATGGAGGAAAACGAATATTTCACAAAATAATTAAAAATTTATTCTTCTCACACACAAAGGCTAAGCTTCCGATTTCTCAAAAGCTAAGATTTAGCAATTCTCTTTGATATATTTTAATATTCTCAGTAATTTATTCCACAGCTTAATATAACTTAATTTTTGAGATATTGGACTTTGAAGATAAAAATTTTGGGACTAAATGGAGCACGAGAATGAGTAACAAATACAAAATCCAAACATATAATAAAATCAATCTTACTTTATACCTAAATAACGTTTGGTAAAGTGATCACAATTACGTTAGACAAACTTTAATCATACTTAAATATAGTTCTAGGTAAACTGGTGAAAGCTTCATAATATGTAAGAAATTCGGATATATACACGGATGTTAAGGTAACAAGTGTTAAAATATAATTTACAGAAAGAGTCGTCCACCTCTTCGATACAAGAATACTTAGTCCAATGTGAGTTAAACTCATTAAATACTGCCAATTATTTTACCATTAGTAGTAGATATACTGGACTTTAAAATCTGTTAACATTAAAAACTATTTAGAATTACATAGAATTAAGCCATATTGACATATGGAAGTAGTTGTTAAAAATAGTTGTCTTTATTAAAACCCGCCATCAAATGGGTATGCCAAAGAAATCTGTACCCTGTCCAATTATATATAAATGATCAAAAAGATATGAAAATTTTTAACAATTGCATACGAGCCATTTCTCTTTCTAGCATCACTAATGAATTTAAATTGTAATAGCTGTCTCTATTAGAAACCGTTGTCAAATGGGTGTGATATATATCGTGTCCAACTATATATTAAATGATCAAAACTATGTGATAATTTTTGGCAATTGCATCTGAGACAATTCTCTTTCTAGCGTTATTAATGAACTTGAAATTTAATAGCTGTTTCTTTTGAAATCCGCTGTCAAATGGGTGTGTCCACGAAATCAGTATCGTGTCCAACTATATATCAAATGATCCAAAAAATGTGACGATTTTTGATAATTGCATCCGAGGCATTTCTCTTACTAGCATCACTATTGAATTTGAAGTTAATCCTAATTTTTAATAATCTAACGTGGTTTCACTGATATCTTCAGATTTGTTAGAATAAAACTGAAATCTATAAGATTGGATTGCATAGAGCGAAAATATATTTTTAAGGTAATTTAATAGAGAAACCCTTTCTTGTGAATTAATAAAATGGAACAAGAGAACCGATGGTCAAAGTGTAAATAAAAATTACAATGAAAGAAAATCAATAATATTTTACATTTAATTTAGTAGAGAAATGATTGTTTAGTATAACATACATACCTCCACACCTCTCCTCAAATACATAATAAATATTATATGTGGTGTGCATAATATTTCAACACCTTCTCAATATTATAACAATAGTAACTACAACAATATAGTATTCGTTGGTCTTTCAGTTGAGAGTTTGTCAATTTCGAACATTTCCTTTAACAAGTTTTTGAAGACTATTGTCACATATTTTTCCGAACTAGTTTAGTAAAAATAATTTGTTATGTGTTGTTATTTTAATGCGGCCCCAATCAGGGCCAATTATCAGTTTAAACAAGAAAGCAAACGCGTGTGTTTCGATTTACATATCATAGACCAAAGACCTTTTCTTTGTCATTTTCTTGGTCAACAAACTTGCAAGTTTGACGAAATTATGCAGTTTGGGCCAATTTTTGTGCGATAATAAACGATAATTTAATATATTTTTTTATATGAATAAATATGAAGAAAAGAGAATAAATGGGCAGAAATAAATCCATTAAATGGATTATTTATAATTTTTGTTTATTGTTACTTAATATATCTTCTATCTATTGTATTTGTTATATCTGCGCCCCAACAAATTGCGTACAATTATAGATACGCAGAAATTTCGAGCTATGCAGGCTTATTTTGTGCATAAAAATTATAATTTTAGTTACGAATTTTCGTAGATATTTCATTTAAATGGCATGGAAAATTGCCAAGTCAAATCTTATTTGTCAAGGCACTTGGCTTTAATGTACTTGACTGCGTAGCGATATGCAAAAGCATAAAGACTAAACACAATGAACACAAAATGCAACGTCATAAAAAATTAATTTATTTTAAACATAAAATTAAGTTAAATGCATTTTTTAAACCACGAAAATTGCTATAATCAGAAAAAACAACAAAATAAATTAGT